GGAAGGAAGGAAGGAAGGAAGGAAGGAAGGAAGGAAGGAAGGAAGGAAGGAAGGAAGGAAAGAAGGAAGCGAGGAAGGAAGGGAGGGAGGGAGGGAAAGGAGGAAAGGAAGGATGGGAATGGAAAAAGGAATAGAAAAAAAAATATATGAGAGACAAACTATTTAAAAAATTCAAAGTGTCAGAAAGAGGTCCAGAGAAAGCAGATGGACAGACTGAAGGCCAGAACCAAAAAGCAGAGCTTGGGGACAGACTTATATTTAGTTAGTCATACTTATAAACCTCCTTGCCAGCTCAGAGTATTGGTCATTGTATTATATATACAGTTGATCTTTGAACAATGTGGAGGTTAGGGGCACTGACTTCCTGAGCAGTCTAAAATCTGCCTATAACTTTTAACTCCTCTAAAACTTAACTACCAATAGCTTACTGTTGACCAGAAGCCTTACTGAGATCAATTAACACAAATTTTGTATGTTATGTGTATTATATATTGTATTCTTACAGAGAAGAGAAAACATTAAGAAAGTCATGAGGAAGAGAAAATACATTTAGAGTACTGTACTACATTTATCAATACCGTAAGTCTGCATCATCTGTTCACAAGATGAATCGTCCATCTAAAATAGTGGGCAACTGCAGCTGCAGACCTCAATCTATCAAGCAATTCAACTTTTCCTTGTAATGTCTTAACTTTTCTCTGCTTCTTGGGAGCACTTCAGCATGACTAGTGCACTTTGTATGGGTCCTCTGGTGTTATTCAACATTTATGGTATTGCACTAAACATGATGAAAAATGCGAGAACCACAAGGATCACTTTTTATTGGGATCCACCATTTACTGGAGAAAGAACAGCCTATTCAGAGATGATTAGGGGCACAGGGCATTATAAGGGATACTCACAACACCTGAGCTCACCGCAGGACGTGGCTATAAAATTATTACAGGAGTACAGTATGTACTACAGTTAATTTTATGCGGTTATGCTTTAATACTGCATCTTTATATCTGTTTGTATCTCTCAATTATGATGGCACAATGTACAGTCTATAAATGTGTACATAAGCTTTGATAAATTTTAACTTCTTATAATAGATTGTGTATATTTTAGAGTAGTAAACTATAAAATACACTAGTGTCTACATATATTTATTCATTCAGGACATACTTAACCTTATCTTAAT